TGAGTACCTATAGAGTATTATTGCATCCTTCATATCTCCCAAGAGTCTTTAGTTTGATCAGATTTATAAAAGACAGATACAGCTTTGCGCTTCTCTGAAGACAGTCGAGCTCCTGGAGGCGTGTCGTGGCAGAGCTAAAGAGTCAATCGTGCAGAATCTGCCATTTCTGTCAGACAAACAGACCAGACCGGAGAATAAATTAACATTGGTGGACTTGAACTTGAAAAATGGTCTGTATTGACTTCTCTCTGCGGTTGAAGCAAGAAACGTTCTGATGTTCATTTGTTTGTTTGGAGCTGTAACTAGTAAAGAGGAAGAGATGATCGTTCCTCCACAGTCTGAAGTACCTGTGCATCTTCTGTGTAATACTCAAGGCTCTTTGTTTGGCTCTGCAGCACGTTTGGATTGGACAGCGGTTCTGCAATCAATTTGTACATCACCACTGTGCTGCTGCAGGAGGACAGGTGGTATGAAATGGAGATTGCAGAAGGCGATGCCAAAGCTAGCCTGCGGTGTGAGGAGTCTCTGCTAGGAAGAGATGACATGCTCGAAAGTGCTCTTCAGATCGTTCCTCAGCTTGGCTCTACCAAAGACCTTGTGATCAGTCTCAACACAGCCTTGACCAAGGTCTCGTCTTGCATACTTGCATCTCTGATTCTCTTTAAGCCTAGTCCGTGTCATTTTTACTCTGGTTGTAATATGGGAATATTTAATCATAAGATTTTTTGGAATGTTTTATGGTATACAGGACACTGAAATGATTACTCAAGTGTAATTTATCTTATATAGTGGTTTATTGTAATGTCATACAGTTTGTGCTAATATTAATGTAATCTGTACAGCTAAATCCATACAACTATGAGTGGATCGAGAGAGTGCTCAGAACTATTCAGATGGCGGATGAGACCACAACCCTGCTACCCCTCGGTCAGGTCAGTCAGATGCCAGGATGAAAAGCATATCCACAAACAAACTTTTCTCTAGATATTCTGCATCCACAAACGATTGCCTAGTGCTTGCTGAGCCTTTGTGTGTAACGTTTTGATTAAGCTTCATTGTAAAATCGTTATACTGTGTTGTGTAGATGGTGGGATTACTCCAGCATTTGAAGTCGCACAGAAGGATCTCGGCCCCCACAGACCTGGAGAGCTCATATCTTCTGGAGAACGGTCTTGAACCCACGGCTCTAGCTCACACCCGCCTGCCCTTTCATCTGCTCTTCCAGAACAACCACGCCTTCTGGAAGACTGTCTGTGTGTAGCAGTGCCTGGTTTTGCAGTGTACTTCATCATACTCTTCCTGATTTGTCCTAAATGACTCCCTTATTTTCTGTTTTAATGTGATGTGTCCTCCTCCCACAGCTCCAGAACTGAGTGAGGACACTTTACCCACGCTGCTCCTCATCTGTAAACTAATGAAGGTAACGTACATAAAGGAGCTTTTTATTTGCTGTTTTTTTTTTTT